CCCGGAGCCTGCAGGGCTGCTCCGCGGCGGCGGCCTCCCTGCTGCACAGCGCGCCGCCCGGCAAGCCGCCCAAGGAAGGTAAATAGCGCGCTCCGTGCCCACGGCGCTGCGAGGGGGGCCCGGTCTTCGGGGAGGGGCCCAGCCGCCGCCGCTGCCCAGCCGCCCAAGGAAGGTAAATAGCGCGCTCCGTGCCCACGGCGCTGCGAGGGGGGCCCGGTCTTCGGGGAGGGGCCCAGCCGCCGCCGCTGCCGGAGGCCAGTCCCAGGCTCGTAGGGCCGGGTGCGCGGTGAATGGGGGTGAGGGCAGGCGGGAGACTTGTGCTCAATGCAGGGGTATTTCCCTTCAGCACAGCGGGGACCCCCAGATCCTGCCGTGGGGGACCCTCCCTTCCCCTGAGGGGCAATCGGGAGACACCCCATCTGGAAATCCAGCAATTTCACCCCGTCTCTGTTTGTTAGTAGTAAAAGCGGCTTCCTAGTCTCTCCACCCCCTTCCTTTTCCAGGGCTACGGAGGAGAATTGATTAATGTTTGTTCATTTCCCTGACAATCTTTATAGCAAGAATCCTCAGCCTCTTCTAATTTTTTATCCCTTCTCTGTGATTTTTATGGCGGAGGCTTGCATCTTCTGTTCTTTTTCTTTCCAAATTTTATTTTCCACCACGCATTTCAAAAGTAAAAGTGATTTGTTGGGTGTATTGGGTGAATGTGGCGGTTGTTGCTTAATAGAAAGGGTCGGGTCCTTTTGGCATCATGGAGGTGGAGTAGAAAAAGAGACCGAGATCAAGGAATGTGTTCCCATCGGGGAGGAAACACTTCTCTGAGCAGCTAATTTGGAGGACAGAAGTGACACGACACCTTAAAACCACCAGAGAATGATTGCAACTTTCTCCTTTCCTCCATCACATCTTAGATGATAATATTTTTCTCCTCCCTCCCCTGCTCCTCCCCTCTTGTGTTACACCGACAGTGAGAGCAGGGTGTTGTGGGTGTTTGCAGGGAATATCTGTATGAAGGTTATGTGCAAACAAGTCTCTTCTTATGCTGTTCCAGTTATTGTCCATTTTTCTTCCTTGCATTGAAATACATTGCCACAAGATGTAGCAATTATACAGCTAGTGGAATGCTCAGTGCTTTTTAACTAAAATGACTGCTTGCTGTATACCAGTTGTTGCTCGAGAACTTTTATACCCACATGCATATATTTGTAAAGGGGAAATTATGCATGTTAAACAGTTGTATAATTTGACTTGGATATCTTATTGAGTATCGAAGACCTCAATATTGGGTGCTTCTGCTCTCTTGTGTAGAGAACACTGGTTGCCATGCTGAAAACTTTCAAACTTAAAATAAGCTAATAAGGGCTTAGAGAAAAGTAGGATAGCTTTATTTAGAGGATACTTGTGCAGTACTACAAAAGTTGAAGTGCAAGTTTTTATCAGTGAACAATTTAAAGACTTGACAATACATTCAGCCCCTTGAAATGTGTAAGTGTGTGTCCTCAATCTCCATGCTTTTAGTTGTTAGACTTGCATCATTCCTTGTGACTTTTGCACATGCTCCTGGATCTGAGACTGGCATTATTACTTTCCAGAAGATATAGGGAAAGGTTGGGTATATGGCATATGTTAAAGATGCCAAATAAAGTAGCAAGCATTTTGTACTCTTGCCCCCCTCCTGGGTGAATTCTTCAATAAGAGAAGATAGTGGCATGTGTGTGTGTTTTTATATATATAATGTGTGTGTGTGTGTGTGTGTGTGTGTCTGGGAGGGTGTGTGGATGTTTTCTAGCTGCATGGGGAGGCATCTGTACAGAGTGGAGCAGTCAGAGGGATAACCACAACTGGGTTTACCAGCATTAGAACTGTGCGTACTTTCGGATTCAGTTATTCACCTGTCATTATTGGGATACTTGGTACATACATCTTAAATTATTATTGCAGCTTTCTGTTTTTAATTGTTATGTTGCTCACTCTAACAAAAAGTGCTGCTTGAGTAGTCCTGACAGAAACAATACATTGAGGCATCATTTTATATTAATGTTTATCGTTTTAAAACTGGTTAACAATTTATTTTTTCTGTCTATAGTAATTTAGGTTGTGTAGTTCAGAGGTTGAAGACCAAACCACAAAATCTGCTGTGTGATTCAGAATGACACTGTACTTATAGTCTATATTAATACAATTTATTCATTGCTTTTGCTTCTTCATGATTGTGGGGCCACTGGACATTTTCCATTTGAAAAGCGTGTGAGATAAAAGCAGTCTTTGGTTTTTTTTTTTTTCCTCTTCCCATTGGCATTAACACTACACTTCACACTAATGCAAAGGAAACTTGCATGTTAGAAGAATCTCACACCAAGGAAATACGTCCCATAAATAAAAATTATAGTTTTTCATATCTTTTTTCAAACAATATACCTTTTTGCCACTTCTGATGCATCTGTACACTGTTTTATAGTGCTAGATATTGCTATGTATTATAGTAACGTGTATGTGAGACAGTTGACAAAATAGATGTGGGAGCTGTACAAGATGCGCCCTCAAGAATATAGAAAAAAATATTATTTTGCGTAATTTGAGATATAGTATTTGATTAAGTAACTAAAGCTTGGGCCAGAATACATAAACCAGTACAGATTTAAGGCTGCAATCACCTTAAATTTGTAAATTTCTTGTTTATCTTCAATGCTGTTGCTATGACTAGTGGTTTTTTAGAGTGTGTTTTTGGTTGGAACACTATTCTGTGCCATTTAGGTATGTAGGAGGAAGACCCTTTGTGTAGTTTACGGCCTACAAGTTATGCAGAGGCTGAGGATGATTGGGTGTATTTGAATACGTTATAATTGCTCATTTTCTTGTGTATCATACATCTGTTACTTTAGTACTTCCCAAATGTTGCTGGTGGTAGGGAAAACTTGAATAAAAACCAAAAGGCCAGAATTTGCTCTATATTAATGGTATAAATGTGTTGTATATCTGAAAGTCACCAACATTACTGAGTAAACTTTAGGGATGTAAAAGGTTAACTGGTTAGCATTAGGGTTACCATTAACTGGACCTTAACTGTTAACGCCAATGGCTGTCGGGACCCAAGGCCTAGCCATGTTAAGTCAGCTGGCAGAACTCCAGCACATAATTGCTAGTTAGAGAGAAATGTAAGTAATATGTATTCATTCGATACAACTTTTCAAATACTTAGACTTTTGAGGAGTTCCTATAAAAATACCGACAGACTTTGACAATATTTTTTTTTCCTTACCAGTTTCTTGATTAATATTAACACTTATTTGTGTTTATGTAGCATCCATATGGTGTTAGGTGCTTTTTGTACAAATATGAAAACTCAGTCCTTGCCCTGCAGAGTATCCAATCTGAGCAGTGCTCCCAGATGCAGGTTTGCCTATGCCATGCTTCTATGCATAGTCTGATGGTCATAGTGATTCCTTGTACAAATTATATTTTAAATACATGTGTACTTGGGAAACTTTCAGGCTTTTTTCGTGTTATCATTACTTGTGTGAAATGTAGAACATTTGTTACCAGATTTGCCCAATACTCTGGGGTATGCTCATTTATTAGGGTTATTCTTATGGGCAAGGCTCGACAAATAATGCAATCTACTCGCCCATAGCAAGTAGATTGAAACCCTGAAGAGCTGGGTTTGGGCGATCTGCGCATGCGCAGATCGCCGGACAGCACGGTTGGCGAGCAGGGCTCACTGCGGTTCGGCGAGCCCTGCTTATGGGACTAGGGAGAGGTTAACAATTCTATCTGTGTGCTGCTTGTGCTCTCATATGGAGCTGAATTCTCCCTGCTACCAAATCCCCCTCCCACCGGAGCTCTCCTGCAGAAACTAGGTTCCTCAGGATGGGGTTCTTCCCACCTTAGCAACACACACAGACACTCACACCCACTAACAGAGCACGACTGAGAGGACTGGGTAATCAGCACTCCCGAGCTGACCCCTCGTATTTCCCTGGACTCAGCAGGTTGGCTTTAACAGCTATGCCACGCTGCACCCTCATGTGCCTTTGGACTCAGTGGGCTGGATTAAACAGCATTTTAAGCTGCCATCCTCATAAGCCCCCAAGTTCAGCCCCCCCATCCCCACTTTCACACCACAATCATTCACTGGTAAACCACACGATGAGCAAACCCCACAGGATTTTGGGCACTACAGGATCTTTAGCTTGGGTACGAGAAGTGTTGTTGCAGAGTGAATGGAAAAGCCAAAACAACACGCCTTGAGGAAGAGTGAGCGAAAGAGAAAGAAAGAGAGAGAGAAGCAACCAGCTTAACAATGAAAGTTATTTATTTCTGGGTAGTGAATATATATATAGCCAAACACACAAAACAGTTACAATATTAAATCTAAATTGAAACTGATTACAACTGTTAGGGCTAGCTAAACATAACAGTTTACATAGGGCAGAGTCAGGAGGCTATGCTTGGTGTGGGGGGGGAGGGAAGAGTGAGAACGAGCAAACCCACCACTCTGTGGAGCTTGCACTGATCGGGTTTCCCACATGGTGATGGGAGCTGGGGGTCCAGAGGGCAAGAGACAAGCAGAACAGAACCCCCAGCATGATCAGATAGGAGATGAAGAAGTCTCAATAGAACTGATGTAGTTTAAATCCAAGAATCAGAACAGTTTTTCTTGGGCAAGGGTAGGAGTTTTTATAGGAATAGGACAATAGTTCGAAGAGAACACTGGATTTGTTTATGTATAAACAGACAAGACAATAGAGACTGATCACACCTGGTTATGGGTGATGTTCCTTGAGGGAGCTCACAATGTAACTAGGCAGTTTCAGTATTTTGGATGTCAATAGGATCCGTTACTAGAATTGGTTTGATAATGACTAATTTGGGTGTGAGCAGGCCTGGGTTCATTAGCATCTGGAGCAGAGATTTCCCATCAGGCAATGCTTCTCTGCATTTGGTATCCCATAGTTCAGTGCAGTTCCTGCTTTGGAAGAGCTGGTCTCCATTGTGTATGACAGTGGTCCCCAACCTTTATGGGCTTGAGATATAGGTGAGAGGATTATTCCAGGAGTGGGTGGGTGAGATTCTGTGGC